TGAAACATAAAGGTGCAGTACACAGAATACAGAGCATTAGCAGCAAATGCACAGTGAAGTAATGAAGTCACACTTCCTCTGTGTGTAGTAATCTGATCAGGGGCCTCATTTATAAACGTGGCGTACGCTCAAAAGATGGCGTACGCCAATTTCTAAGCAATGTTTGCGATTTATAAAAAACAAACTTGACCCATGCGTACGCGGTGCTCACAAAAACGGAAGAGATGAGAAACTGCGACACCGTTGGCAGAAGGAAGAATAGAGAGAAATATGTGGAAATAATACCATAAATAAAATGTTACCTCTCATTTATCATATATGAAGAATTCATTTTCACAAAATGATTAAAGCCAATCTTAAAATGATTGTGATGCCTGTTTGCGACTCCTCAGTGCACACAAAAACATAACTTGGATAAATAAATAAATACGGAAATGTTATTGAAAACCACCTCGAATATGTTGTGTTAATGTTATGAAATGTTTTCTCATAAATGATGCGGTAAACAGAGGACAGAATTACGTCTAAACTGACGCCGTTTTGCATTTCTATAGATTGTAGATACGAGCATGGTTTTATATACTATCACGTTTAATCATGTTTTATGCCGTTTGCTAAGACTTGATAAGTCGCTCGTAAAACACAGGAGGTATGGAAACTAAGAACACCATATGTGGTAAATTGTGCAGCTGATATAACACAACACATTCGTTTTATTTCCTTTAACTGGTGGATAGAGAGTTGCTGCGGGGGGGTTGAGACGCACAGGCTGCAGTGGAGACGCTGCGCACAGCTGATTGACAGCTGGAACATGAACCACAAAATAAAACATTTAAATTCAGATCCAGTCGTCATGACTCCACTCCGGAGGGATTCCCCGATACTTTCTTACAGTTTCTCATCATGGGGGGTCTCCTGTCCCCGGTACAAACAGCCTGAGGAAGGTTATGTGTTTTTTGTCATTAACTTTTTTCGGACCACTTATTTATTTATTTTGGTGACGATCCGACCTCCATGCTGCTACTCTGGTTCAAACTGCATCCACCAAACAATATGATTTATCTCGACCTCCCCTAAAGAACCAAAATCTGACACGGTGTGAGATGTCTTTTTTAGCTGTTCTGTCGTCATTTCCTGCGATCTTCTTCCTGCAGTCAGTCAGAATGAATATTAATACGGGGCGTTTCTTTGACTATTTATAGGCAAATATGGGCGTTACGTGAAGCCCGCAAAAGCTGCGCCGCATTTCGAGTTGATTGTGATTTATAAAGGGAAACCGACGTAGGACGTGCGTTCGCAGTGTTTTATAAATCGGAATATTTGTGTGCGTATTTATTTGCTTTGTCCTACGTCCACCTTCCCACGTGAATCCTACGCAAAGCTTTATAAATGAGGCCCCTCGTCTTATATACACTGCTTTTCTGTGGATTAGGTCAGGTCGGTCCTGGAGCCTCACCTGTGTAGTTGTTAAGAAGTCCAGACAGTCCAGGCTGTATATGATGAGAGCCTGAACCAGCAGGATGAACTGGTTGAACTGCCAGGTCAGACAGAAGCAAAACGTCGTCACATACATCAACCACACCATCACTTTCTGTGGAGGGAAACACACACACACACTGGGGTTAGATTCTTGGTACTCAATGGCTTGTATACTCATTCCTGTTGTGCTGCTTGCTGTTTTATGGTATTTTTCCTCTGCATGGTACGTCTCTGCTGACAGGACATACTTTTAGTGACAGATCTTTTTTTCCATTTTGTTTTCCACTGCGGATCGTACCCTCTCAGTGTAGGCCGGATTATCAGCATAGGTATGTCTGCCATTCATTCATTATGCTGCTTAGTGTCCTTGCTGTGTCTGGTGCTGTTTTTTTGTGAGCTGACATTTTTTTAATTAAATCTAGGTTGAGTAGATGAAAAAAATGACAGTTGCAATTGTCGGTTGCTTGGTTAAAAAACGGCAGGTTTGTGCAGGATGTTCCGTGTCAAGCTAGTGACAATTTTATCTGACCAATCATTGGTCTACACTGTAGACTCTAGAGTGACTAGGGGTGGCTCAGTTTGCTTAGAACCTCGACAAGGGCTGTGTCAAAAGAAGTAGGAGTTACTTGACCATCTTTTGCGAATGAAAAACCAAAATAGAGCAAGTTGCATCGAGGAGAATCGTGCAATACCCTGCAGTGTAAATGCACCATTAGGGAGTTAGAATATTGAGCAGATGGCTTGTGTGTTTCAATTCCAGGCCAATGTAAAGTGTACACCAAGTTACAAAGAGGATACAGACATTTTTAAAACATGACTGTACTTGTTTCCTACAATATCAGAAGTATTGTCGGGCCTTAAAATGTATTTAGGCGTCCCGTCAGCCCAACTACAAAGACATTTGTTTAAGGCGCAGATAACTTACTATCAACGCATTGATAATGCTTCCTCGTGAACAATACATACAAGTTTAAAAAAGTGGCAGGACAAATGCTTGTCACCAGTAGCTGTTAGCAGCCAGTGAATGGAGGCTCTATAGAGTTGGGTTATGGTGAATTCAAGCATGTCATGATGTTTAATCTAAATATAATCTTGTAAAATGTATGGTGGGAAACTTGAATAGTTTTTTGAAGGACATAAAGTCAATATAAAATAAATAAAATAGAGGGAATTTTGACCTGTTTAACTTCAAAACAGTAAGAGTAAAACCGGCTTGTTTGTTGAAATACACAGGATTTAGCATTTAGCTTTTTATTGTGGCATCAAATCAGTATTGACAATCCATGAAATAACACTTATATAGGTATTGACTTATGACATCCTTTGTGATCAGTAGCTTTGATTTAGCGTGGGTTTGTGCGTACCTGCTGTAAGTCTGTGAGCTGAGGCCTGAGGTAACAGGTGATAGCGGTGACCTGCAGCGCGAGGAAGGGCATCGACCAGTTCTCTCTGAGCGAGATGGTGAACTCCACACGAGTGGTATCTACCCTGAAGGGAGAAAGAGAGGGAGGAAGTGATTCATGTTCAAAATGATGACAAATGTCCAAACCCCAACTAAGACCTATAGCATCTGACACATACTGCAGTGTCTCAAACGTGTGTGTTGCCAATCAACCAGACATAAAGAGTGGTGCAGGAATGAGTCCAATAACACAGATGCCTGAAATAAGATGTGTGGTTAGAACAAGCTTAAGAGATTTTCCCTTGTTGTTCTTTGATATAAAATAGGTCAGTAACTAGCCCACACGTTAAGGTCTTCTATGTGTCATTAAAACAGCGGTTGCTAGGGAGTTGGAAACATCATCGCGCCAAACATTGGCCGCCTTTAGCTTAGCGGTGGTGATGTGAAGTTGTACGACCGTGATGTAGTTAGTTTATAGCTTTAGGTTAGCTATTTACTTCTGGCAATTGCATTGGCGTGTATTGTTGAGATTATCCTGATGAACAAAACATGTAGGTATCATATGGTTTGCCATAGATCTTACTTTCTATATTCCTAAATCCAATGGAAAAATCCCTTTGCATTTGCTCTGACTCCTCCTACATAGGATGTCAGTTTTTTGGGGTCCAGTTTTTTATTGATTTGGACCCCAAAGGAACTTGATCACAGTGTTACGGAGCAGTTGTATCACAACCAATAGCATTTCTATAAGTCCTGGACACAATGGTTTGGAAAGCCCCAGAGTTGTCAATGACTCTCACAGTGTGTCCCTGCTTCTCCAGGTGCGAGGAGTCCTTGTCTGTGGGAAAGAATGTAATTCTTCATAATGGAGGATCACTTAACGCCTCTACATTCCCACGGCGATGTTGAGTTGGGGGGAGATTGAGGTCGAGGGGGTTAGTTATCTGCTAGTTCCTATCTTTTTGCATTATAATTAGCCATGTGCTTCTGTTTGCCGCAGGGAAAATGTATATTTGGGATAACAGGCTTCCGGACAAAAGGGCTCTCATACTATTGGACTATTGGGTTTGCAGAATAATGGGCGTTCAGAACAACAGCCTGGCACCTACTATGGAAACAGGATTTACATTTCATCCCATTCTACCCCACCGTGGCACTGTTTTGTCCCACTTTGATCCCCACTGTAGCTTTTTTTATTCCTCCCAGATTCCTCCTTCGCTCCGAGTACTAAACTCCAATATGAAAGCTTCCCCTAAGTGAATTCTGTGATTTATATTATTTTCCAATCAACCATGAAGGCAAATGAATCCACCATAAAAAACGTTCTTTAAAAAACATTCACACCTGACGTAAAAAGATCTATCAAAATCCCCCTCATTTGCAAAATGTCGCTGAGTGGCTCGTGAAATATTTTCCTTGTGTATATGAAATACTGATTCAATGTGACCTTTACTGCAATGCGCTCTTCATGAGGACCTTTAAAATGTTAATTTGACTGCTCTTAAAGACTTGAAGAGTGATACAGAAAGATAGAAATGTATTAATTGGCATTATATCGCCCATCTGTCACCCTGCGATCTAAATCCTAAATCCCAAATAGGTACATTCCTAGCCAGAGGTTTTGGAAAGCATTAGCATCTCATCAGTCCTGACCTGAAGCTTTTATTTTCCCTTTCTTCTGTTGTTCTGCCTCCTGTGATCTTGGCACAAAGGCAACATCCCCACATGGATAATTACAATCAGATGCAGAAAAGGGAGAATTGCACAGGTGCAATTTGGCGTGTTTGCCCAATATATCTGTGAATCAACCTTGAGACGGGGAAGATAGCGTGAGCAAGTGAAGGTATCAGCGGACACAATGCATTCTTTGTAAATCCGACACAGTTTGTGTATTCATGAGGCCTTACACACATGTTGAAATCATTTACTTCTGTTTTAAAGTCAATTAAACATCTGCAACGCAAATGTATTCTCAAAAGTTTGAAATTTGCATCCAGGTTTAAGGAGTAAGGGATTACATGTAACAGGATTACATAATCACGATACAAATACCTCCTTAGTAACATAAAAAAAAAGACGTAATTAGATTACTGTTACATTTAAAAGAAAATTGGGATTACTCGCAGGATTACAAACCTATAAGTAAAATCTCTGAGCAGAGGACACACTTTGATCCTAAATATCTTGGTTTCTTCTTTTCTAAGATGACATTGTTCTGTTGTTTTACAAAATAAACTTAAAGGTGGGGTATGTAATTTTGGAGAAACCAGCTTGAGTGCGCTAGGATTTGAAAATACACAGCCGGAATAAATCTGCCACTTCCTTACAGAGCCCCTCCACCAACACACACGAACGCGCACATGACCAATGAGGGCACGAGATAAGTTTGTGCACAGATGGAAGGCTGACAGGCAGGTAGGCCATCCAGTTATTTTAGCCGGGCCGGCTAAAATGATTGGTCGTGCTTTTTACAGTATTACGGCTTCCACAGATGATTTTTTTTTATGGATTTTTTGTCAAAGCACTTCAGATATTCATTGCTATCGGGATGTTAAGAGCATTCCATGGAATATAACAAAAAGTGTATCTCGAGCCGGTTTCTCAAACTTACCTACCCCACCTTTAAGTAAGGAACTTCTTATTGATATTCATTTTGTCTTTTATTTAATTGCATTGCATTTGTTACTAAAATGTAACAGAAAGTAATCAGATTACATTACTTAATGATTTTGGAACCAAGATTAGGTTACTGATGAATGTTTACAGGCAACTAGTAATTGTCATGGAATACATTTTTAAAGTTACCCTCCCATCCCTGCTTCCATTGTTTACACCCTCTGGTAAAAATATGTTTTTTTTTCATTTCTTATTTAACTGTTTTGCACTCCTTGTTATATTGCAATCACAAAAGGATTTACATGGACAGTGACGATTTGTGGTTTTAAATGCATGTTTGTCGAGCTTGAGTGAGCATCAAATCTAAGAATATACTCCCATTTTGTGCCGACATGGGAAATTGGCGTAACATTATCAGAGTTTGAGTCTGAAAGGGGCATTGTCGCATGAACACACAGTTATTTCTCACCTGTTGAGGATGTACCAGACCCCGGTGAGAGTGCCGGCCAGCCAGGAGCCTGACAGGAGCCATGCAGTTAGGTACAGAGCGATCACATACACTGCCTGGAGTGAGAACACTGTGTAGATGTAGAAATACACTGGCTCCAGATAGGACTGAAACACACACACACACACACACACAGAGAGCAGCAGTTCATTAGAGCCGCTGTGAAAGGACACACAGAGCTGCCTGCAGTGACAGCGACAGACTCTCAGGAACACTGTGGCATTTTCAAAGTTTGCTCTGATATTTCACTTCCTGGCAGTCTTGTCACAGTGAGCTCTCTGAGGGAGCTAAGTAACTGCTGCTCAGTTAATTGATCTGCCGATACAGAAACCTTTTCCTCCGACGTGACAAGTACAAGTGTGCCAAGACATGTCAGCTAGAAAAGACCAACATTTAAAATGCCACAGCGGATCAAAAGCCTGACGGACTGCAGTGAAAACCTCTTATTGTGATCAAGGGTCAAATTAATCACTTTAAGCTTATGAATATTTTATACAAAATATAACTTTAATCATCGCTTTTGCGGATTGACATATATTTGACATTTGTATATTTATGAATTTAACATCAAATAATAACACAAACAGTTTTGCTACTAAATTATATAACTACAACTATATTTTTTTAATTCATTTTCCACATTGAAAAACATAAAAAAACAACAAAGAAAAACATGCATAACAACAATGCGATAATAAAGAATTAAATACATCGACTGACATGACTTCACTTAAATTAAAATGAATACCGTTAATACAAATAATATGTATTTGTTTTCATGATGATGACAACAAATAAATAAAAAAAGATAATAAAAAAAAGATAATAAAGGTTGCTCTTCCTCGCTGTTGACATTTTAATTTAGACTGAAACCGAATTGCACTTTTAGCGAACGTCAGAATTGGTAATAAGCTGCTGAAACCCAGAGCTTGGCATTGGTTTCAGTGCCATCATTATTTTTTAACAGGCCAAAAAATAAACAGACTACTTGATTAATATAATATATATTTTGTCAACATACTCTTTTCATACTCGAGCTATTGAAAGAAAAGTAAATATTTTATTTTTCATATCATGCTTTGATATTCATGTAAACAGCTGATCACTAGAAGAAGCTTCCACTGTATGATTATTATTCATGGCAGTACTTATTCAATATTTCTGACAAAAGCAAACAGTGTATTGTGGTATAATTGTGATTGTATGAAATGACAAGAATAATCAGAGAGAGAGTCAATCATCCTGTAATAGTGGCGGGCATTACTCTAATCTATTGTGTTTTACAAGCCGTTGTAAATATCTGACAGCTGAGTGATGGGGTACCTGTATGGGCAACAGTCTGTAGAGAATACTGAGGAAGACCTCCTGGTAGATATTCATCCGCTGAAGGAGATTGATGGTCCTCTTGGATTCTGTCAAGTTGTCATGGATCAAATCTGAGAGGCCTAGGAACACACACAAACACACTCTTTTAAAATGCCACCATTTCTTCACAGCGACATTGACTGATAATGATAACTATTGGGTATGAATGTTTCACAAAGCTCACCCTCCAGAGCATGGTGCTTGTTAAAGAACAATAAAAGTGCTTGAAATGTCTTTCCACCCCTAAAAACACAGATTGTTCTGCCTCAATTTAAATCAGTCATCGCTGCGAGCACCATAGATGACTGAAATCGTCAAGTGCATTCAACCTTGAAAGCCTCAGGCATTACTTCCTTTGCTCAATTGTAAAAAAAATAGCATTGTTGTAGGTTTTTTTCTCCATAAAATCTTAAATGTCAGCATTTCCCATAGTCTTTTTATGACGCTACCTCAACTTAAAGGGGCCCTATTATGCTCATTTGCTGGTTCATATTAGTATTTTCTCCCTCTACTGTGACATGTCTCCATGCTTTAATGTTCAAAAAGCTCTTTATTTTCCTCATACTGCCTGTGCTGCAGCACCTCTTTTCACCCTCTGTCTGAAACCAGAGCCCATTCTGTTCTGATTGGCTGGCCGGCTCTGTTGTGATTGGTCAATGCCTAGAGATGTCCCGCCGCTTAGCCTATCACATACAAAATAAGCGTGGGTGTTATGTAGTGATGGATGGTCCAATGGAGGCATTTCAGGCAGGGGGGAGTGTGTGGGAGAGAAACTCCCTCTGGGGGGAAAGTTGAGATTTTAGCCTCAAATGACAGGTGTCATTCATAGTGACAAATGATGTAATCCCTTTAGCTTTACAGAGAGTTTTAGCCCTTTTGACCCTTTTTCTACTCCCATCGCTGTTCCTCTGACTGCTTCTCAGTAATTACTTTGGTGAGGTTTATTGGCAAGAAAAACTAATATAACACCCACATTGTATTAAAAATAAATGCATATTCTCCTATATTTCTCCCATTGCATGCAAAAAGGCTGGTGTTATATGACCGTGCACACACACACTGGTGTCAGTATTCCAGAAGGGGCAGTGGGTGCAGCATGGTCTCTGTGTATCTGTTTTGACTGGAACAAAGCGTGACAGCAAAGAGCTGAGTTTCTGCTGCAGGCCGGTGTGTGTCAGCCTCATCCTTTCTGCCTTTTTCATCCATGTAAGAGCTTTAAACTAAGGATCCATTGCTACCCACACACACACACAACCCACTCATCCTGTATCTTTCTATTCACGCCCTCCTCCATCCTTTTCTTTCCATTTATGCTTACTTTCTCCCATCTCACCTAATTTCATACATCAATCTTAACTTTTTCTCATTTCCACCATTATGCCACATGTTGTTCTCTGCCCCCCCGTACCATTAATACTGTGACACAGCCGCTCTGCAGACAGAAAAATAAAGGAGTGCAGAGTGAGAGTGAAAGGGAGGTCAGCCAGTTCTCCGTTGATTAGCCTTCAGCTCAATGATTTGCCTTGGTGCAAAATTAGGCCTGTTTCCAACTAGAAATGTTGCATGATAATGGGAAAAAATAATTAGACTAATTTCCCTCAGACTAGGCTGTGCGTCACAGAAACTGCAGTGGTTTGTTTTGATCTGGTTGGAAAATGGAGAGGGAAAAGATTTTTTTCTTGTAAGAGCCGGTAGAGAAAGCTGTATGGTGTCTCCATCCATGTAAAAATAGAATTACCAAAAGTATAATTGTTTCATTTTTCAGAAGGTTCGGTTTGCGTTCACACGGGCAAAACTCAAACGGACTATAAACTTTAAACACAAGTCATGTGCACGGAAATGCTGTTCAACCATTGGTCAGACATTAAGGGGGTAAAAACGCAAATCCCGGCAATTTCTACCGGAGCCTCCGCCATGGAGCATCGGCACTTTCGGCAGGTTATTCTCATGCTGCTGTTAATCTGGAGATCAACAGACACTAGCGGCCCGCGCATATGATTATATAATCAGACAACGTCCGTTAAAAAACATTATAACACATATAATGAGAGACGTTCTGCAGTAAGGAGGGGCGTTTCACCGACGACAGGTGTTCTTAATTTTATGTAGTTGACGGAGCATTTTTACTTTACACAACGACACTGTTCAACACTTAATTCTGCTTCACTCTTTAACTAAAGATTTTTGAAGACATCCGCGTTCTTTTGACACGTAAATACTACGCTTCCTATGTTTTGGTGCACAGCAATGAACCGCTCCAGAGTTCGCAAGCAAGCGTTCCGAGACCACCTATTTTGCGGACCAGAGTCCGGTTGTTTAGTTCACTTAACCTGTTCCACTCTGAGCCTGTTTTTCAGGTCTCAGGCTCGAAAATGACATTCCCAGAACAAATGACCATATCTTCCCTTCTAAAAGGGTTAAATTAATAATCTTTTCTCAAAGTAATGATAAACCTGTGAGTTGGATGTACTGTAGAAGTGTCAGAATCAATATAAATGTTTTTTATTTTAAAGAAAATTCAGATTTTACATAGTAAAAAACTGTAAATTATAGTGTCCGTCCAAAAATTATTTTTTACAGATAGTGAAAACTACCCTTGGATGATGGGTTAGTAGACTAAAAGCTTTAGGAATCCAAAGTACAACATATAATAAGTACCCTGTATCAAGATTGATGCAAAACAAGTGAAATTTGACCTTTTTAGAGAGATTTAGCCAAAAACTGGGCCATCTGGGGTCATTTGGGTGGATTTGACCTATCTCTGGCCCCCCTTGCTCGATCTGGTTGGTTGACATACCCTTGTGACCGTTAGAGCCAATAGAATCGAAGGAGGAGACTCACATACACATACATTATAAAGAAAAAATGTTGCCGCTTCGCGTGTGGAAAGCGAAACTAAACTGGAGGAATGTCTCCTTCTGGAGTTTGGAAACTAAAACGCAGTTGTATTGCTTATGGATTATCAGAAATAATTTCAAAGAAGGCACAGACACATAGGATGAACCTATGGATTAACTGCAGCATCGTTTTTTTATCGTTTTAATGCCATTGAAGACCACTTTTGACCAAGGTGAGCCATATTTACATGTTTAGCTTCTTGGCTCCACATGTGATGATGTACGCTTTCGTTGATAGCGTCGCGAATGTTTATCACTGAGTGTTGAGGTGGGCACCGTTAGATTCAGTGTCTCCAGGACACCAAAAAATAGTGTTTGGTTGTGCATCTAGGATAAGTAATAAGGGAGTTCTGAGTGAGTTTATGTGCCTTTGTCGGTCCCGTTTTTTCGATCGAGGCTAATTCAGAGGCTGAGTGCTAGCATTGTGGGTTTTTTTTGAAAAAAAAAATTAAAAAGATCAGTTAGCTGAGTTTCTTCCCGTTACATGGATATAACACATTCATAGTTTTATTCAATATTAAGATTCCTTAGACGTTGTTTCCTGCAAATGACGCGTTTATCCGCCCGGTACCGGGGGGAAGGCGTGAAACAGGTTAAAGTTTAAATCTTCCGGACAAAATTAGAAAAGTGCCGGTCAAAGGTCTTCTTTGTTATTTATTGAGCTTTAAAGGGCCCATGTCATGGCCATTTCCACTGATCATAATTACATTGTTGAGGTATACTAAAATAGATTTATACTGTGCAATTTTCCAAACTCACATTGGTTTCGCATACAGCATCTCTGTCAAGCATGTGTATTCAGCAGTATTCACTTTCTCCACTAAACGACTCGTTGGAGCTCTTGCCCCCCCCTCCCTGTGAGCCTAGTGTGCTCCGATTGGTCAGCTCGGCCACTCGTTCTGATTAGTCAACCACCAGAGAGGCTGCGCCCATGTCAGTGCTTTTCCCGGCTGCTCTCAGCGTAACATCAGTCTTATCATGGCGTCGGTACAGCGGTATATTTTATATACATATATATTTTTAACTGTTGTTATAGAAGAGTGTGACGGCCCCAGGGCCTTTGTCTTACGATGGGGTGGAGCTGAAGAAGCTAATCAGCACGATCACGGACACCTCCGGACACTACGGCCCCAGTCTCTCTCCAAAGCGGCTGCAGGAAGACTAACTCTGCGATCCTCTCAACCACCTATCTTTGCATTTACCACAATAAATGTGCCGTGGTTTTGTAAACTCGTGTATGTCTCCTTGTCTTTCCGTTGTGGCCTACGAGCTACTCTCATAACAAAGAGTAAGTTATTTTTACCCGTTATAAACTACTACTGTTTGATGAGAAATCAAATCATGGTTTGCTATATATGAATTCAGGGAAGAAAGGATAGGCCTACTAAGTATTTCCATTAAACTTTATTTTTAGAAATGTACAAAATGAACATAAATATACATATATACACGGTATATCATCCATTCCTCCTCCTCTTGCCTGCGCACAGCCGGTGCGGTGCGGTGCCTTTTAGCACGAGGCCTCAGTAGTAGTAGAATCCCTTCCCCGTCATGGATTGTCCGCCAGGATCTGGCTGGACGAAATCAAATGCAAATCACAAAATATTAGAGAAACTTAGTTGTTTTAGATTCGTTAGTAGTAGTTGTGTAATGAACAGCTTGCCTGCTAATATGCTAACCTAGCTTTGTTTACCTTGGTAGCTAACACGATATGAACGTTAGCTTGGAGGAAAGGCAACTATAATGCAGTGTAATAAAACTACTATGAACAAAAGCTAGTGGTTCATATTAGGCTAGCAATAACGTGTTTATAATTGCAATCGTATACGGGTATTCTGCTACCATACAATGTAACTTGCATGAATACATTGTTTTGCGCTAGCATACAGCTAGCCTCGTTAGCTACATGCAGTATATGTACGGTCACAATGTACGGTAAACCGGAGTATACTGTATGAGTATTCCGTGTGTGTGACTGCAGACATTCTCCTGCCATGACAAACATGTAAGGCCATCTGCTGACATTGTAGTTGATATATTTAAACGCTAGCAACGTAGCATCACAAAAATGTTTTTCTGACCAAAACTAGCTCAAGCTCCGTGTGTTAGATCGCTACGCCAGCTATAATGTAATTACGTTTCGCGACTGACCGGCAAATCACCCGCAGTATACTGTCAATAGGTATTTTGTGTGTGAATGCAGACATTCTCCTGCTATGAGATACATGTATGCAAGGCCATCTGCTGATATTAGAGTTGATATATGGAAACTCTAGCAACTTAGTTAGCACAGTTAGCACTGTGTCAATGGCTTAGCAGTCCAACACAGTTTACACATTTAAACAGTCTTGTTTGATAAATACACAAATAACAATGCAAACTTACAGGTTGTATACCCAGATCTTCCCCTGCTCCAAACGGTCCAAACAAGCTGTGCATATCCGGCCTCAAACTGGGCAATGTTTTTGGAAGCTTTCGTCTGTGAAATGCCGGTTCTTCGAACCTCTGGAGGAGGAACACGCCGCTGCTGGTGTGGCCATAGCTCTTCGGGATTGGTCCATTTCGTTCCGGGTACCGCATGACATCAGGCGGTACCCGGAACTAAATGGAAGACTCAAATGGGCAGTGACGTATCTCCAACGAGGCGTTTTGGGGAGGTATTTTCTGTGTTAGAGTTTTACTCGCTACAGGGTGTACTTTGAGGGTTTTGACTCTGCACACCGTTTACATGCATAAAAACCTTCATAACACACAAGGGGACGGGTAATAACCGGAAAAGCATGACATGGGAGCTTTAAAACAAATGAATAACGACTCGATATAATAATATAAGAATAATACACGGAGGACGGAGCCTCTCTTTTCCTCCCCCTCTTCTGAGAGCCCAGCAGCTGATCTTTGAGCACGCCCCCCTGGGCGTGGTCAGCTGCAGCTCATTTGCATTAAAGCTACGTCACAGAATCAGCCCCTGCAAAAACAGGGCTGGAAAAGAGCAAATAGAGCGAAATGAGGCATGGCTAAAATGCATGATCTGTTTGGTATTTTGAAAAAAAAAATTCACAGACATGTTTTATATAGGTATGGCCCTACAATACATTATTCAAATATAGCATGATAGGTCCACTTTAAGTACTTGATCTGAGTATTTCTCCCACCTTACACGTAATTGGGGCAACAGAACTCAGAGTTAAGGAAGTCGAAAACGGTGCATTTCTCCATATGAATATGATGCCTTTTGGCCAGCTGATGGACAGATTGCTCGTGTTTCCGCGTTTATGCGAAAAATACTTATGGCAAACGAGCATTGACCACATCGAGCCTTGTAGATTGTCACTTTTGAACGCTCTGTTCTCCACCGGCGGATCTCTGTGTGCACGGTGCTGCAGCGTGTCTGTGAGTGAGTCTGTGAGCGAGATGCCCCGCACACAGAGAGAGAGAGAAAGAGGGAGAGAGAGAGAGAAAGAGAGATCTCCCCACCGACCACGTAAAGGTCCTTTCACACCGAGCCGATTTTCGGCGTCGATAGATGTAGGGCCGTCGATGAGCATCGTGTCGCCCTACTCAGATTGGTGTGTACTGCACCGTCGTGTCTTTTCGGCCGTGCCGACACCTTCCGCCGCCGATTCGACATGTTGAATCGGTAGGCTGTCGGCCAAAGAAATCACTCTGATTGGCTGTTCAGCTTAGCGAATCACTGCATGAGAAGCGAAACGGAAGTGATGGACCCAAACAAACTATTAAGAAGGCAAATCTGAGATTTCATTTAACTCCAGCTCTCGACACAGGTTCGGGAAAGCCCCATGAGCTTCTCGCTGTAGAGTGAAAATGGAACGCACACGCTATTTGTTGTTTGTTTATATCACGCAGTCTGTTCTTTTTCTCTCTGTGTATCACGCAGTCTGTCTTCCGGTTGTTGCCTCTTTTGAATGACGAATACACACTACCGCCGCCTGCTGGTAAGGAGAGTTATTGCCACTCACGCATGCGCAGTTCGTACGTGCTTCTTGGTCGTCGGCTGAAGTCTTTGCGGTGTGTTCCAGTGCTACACATGGCCAAGGAGACATGAGCCGACGTTCCGTCGGGACGTGTTCTTTGGTGTTCTTTGGTGTCAGTTTGGTGTGTAAGGAGCTTTAGATGTCAAGGGAGATGTATGCCTCATCATACTTTGTTGATTTGGGCATTATAGCTGAAAGGCTTGTCGTGGGCGCGTCCACTTTTCTTTTAACTGCAGATTGTGTTAAAAATGTGTCCATTTTATAGATTTTAAGAGCAAACAATGTTTGTTTACAACTTCTTCCCAAGCTTCACGCGCCCCCCCTGCAATAGCGCTGAGCCTCCCCTAGCATTTACATGCAAAAAAACCTATATACCACCCTACAGGAAAGGTAATACCCAAGAAGCACAATTGGGCCAGTTTAAATGATGTATACCTTCCTGTATGGACGGGGCCTGCAACATCTGCTTGTAGTAGGAGTAGTAAAGTCCACATTCTGTCCGGAAAGAGATCTCGCGCTCCACTTCCTGAAAGCAGAAAGGGGATTTTAGTCAAAGACATCAAAGACTTCTGTTTTCTGAAACATGGACAGATGACAGATGAAACACTTTTTTAGAAACTAGAATACAGCCATAACTATAAATCTTTCTTCTTTTTTTTAAGCCTGTGTTTATACTGTTTTCAATAAATTGATTTAGTTCTGACAGATAATATTAATGTGAGCAATTTAAGCAATACATATGTGTTTTGTAACTACCTTTTTGTATCTATACCATTGCTATTTAAAAAGGCAGATATATCTATAACATGGAATAATCAGAAGAGGCTAGATAGCCGCATACACATTTATCGTGGCAAAGAATAATGGAAAACTTGAAGAATATATTTTTTAAAAGCTTAAATACTCGTAATGCTCAACAACAATAGCACAGGTGTGTGTCTGTGTGTTTATGTGTGTACTTAGACGATGTCTTCCCAAGAGTGTTCCTGCTTGCCATGTATGATGACTGTTCCACTAGGGGGTAAAGACGGAGAGCAAACAGTGAACAAGCAGCTGCAGAATATAAACTCAATCCTTCATCCATCATGTTCCCTCTGTGAATAGCTTTTACAGCTGTGCTCCACTAAAAACACATTCTTTGAGTGTAGTGATATATTTTGTTGACATATCGGCTTTGTGATTTAACTCAAAGTCTCTCAAATTGTTTCTCCAGGATTATCATTTTCATATTTCCGTTGGATTTCAAAAACTACTTATTAAAAACCTAAGCATAGTTAGAGTATGACTAAAGTGCCGGTGATGTCATTATTTTTCACTAATGACTTACGGATTGCTGTTCCTAATAAAGAGACCATAAAAAGATCTCATAAAAACTGTTTTGAAATGACTTAGAGGAAACGGCTCAGCTGATTGAGATTTGCAACTAAACTTCCTGAAAAAAACTAAAAAGTGCGGTCAAATATATTATGTGTAAGAAATGTTCCATATTTTAAGTATGTTCCTAATTGTCCCTTTGTAGCCAAATACCATGACCTGATTAATCAAGTGGAAACCAGAAGACTTTGAGAATTTGAGAGCATAATTTACCCAAGTTACGTAAGGAGTAAGGAGTTAACATGTTCAGCTCTCTTCTGTCCATTGGATTTTCTGAAACTTGCTGGAATGGTCCAAGAAAGAAATAACATATTCAACTTTGGAGCCTACCTGAATCACGGGGCCGATATGGGATTTGTGTTGAACTTTTGCTGACATTCCGAGGTATATGGTCTGGATTCAAGTTTAAATAATCTGATAAATGTGTTCCCAACTGGAAATTTCCCAAGAAAGCCCCCTCAAGTCAGAACAACGACAAGCAAAAAAGCATCGTCTTTGTAACACAATGAAGTCAGAAGAACAATGTCCCAACTCGGGTGGTGGGATAGGAAGAGCACATGAACGCACCATTGGCGGAAAACTAGGCAGTACAGCAAAACACAGATGCAAGAAGAACTTATCAACCTCTTGTTTCACAAAATAGACTTAGGAACTCCCGGAACATACTGTAATGAGCATAGATAAGCTGTGATTGATTGGTTGGAAAATGTTCGCCCTCTAAGTTTAGTGACCTCAGTAAACTACCAGCATAAGCACCACCCGTAATTCTATGACCTTTGTGTCAGGGTCTGAAACCAGCACCTGGCATATGTGGTTACATTTTTGGCAATAATGGATAAAGTCATTTGGCAATCTACCACTTTGGGGAAAACACAAAACACAACAGAAAGACACATTAAAGGTGGGGTAGGTAATTTTGGAGAAACCAGCTCGAGTGCGCTAGAATTTGAAAATACACAGCCGGAACAAATCTGCCACTTCCTTACAGAGCCCCTCCTCCAACACACACGAACGCGCACATGACCAATGAGGGCACGAGATAAGTTTGTGCACAGATGGAAAGCTGACAGGCAGGTAGGCCATCCAGTTATTTTAGCCGGGCCGGCTAAAATGATTGGTCGTGCTTTTTACAGTACTACGGCTTCCACAGATTTGTTGTCAAAGCACTTAAGATATTCATTGCTATCGGGATGTTAAGAGCATTCCATGGAATATAACAAAAAGTGTATCTCGAGCCGGTTTCTCAAACTTACCTACCCCACCTTTAAGTTTGATGTATGGTGTTAGCGAATGATTGGACAGAGACAGCTGTTGGCAATTGGTGGAAAGGAGGAAGGAACAGTAAAGTTGTCAAGTGGTAGTAAATAAACAGTGTAGGTTTAATCTTTTCCATGAATAAATTCTGCAGCTCATCATGACCCAAGTACATTTTTCATTTCTGGCCCTCTTAACTACAGGGAAAAGTAAAGAAGGTCAGCTTCTATAAGTCTCCCCTGTGCTTCTCGAACACGGAGCAATGAATAAATATTGTTTCTTGCAATATACCTATTTCTAGTTGTATACCTGACTGTATCATGATATCCCTGTGTTGTGGCCATCTGTAACATCAGCAGTACTGTTGTAATAGCATCCCTTTTCAGCTCTCTTCAAAATTACTCAAAAAATAGAAACCAAGTGTCGACTTTATCGTTATTCGAGACACAGCAGGAAGCTTTTGAATAAAAAATGATATCTTGGATTGACTGATTTGTCACAATGAATGAAGGGGCAGGGCTGCTCATAACGGCATGGACAATATAAAAAGAAATTATATATTCACACATATACAAATATAGTCACTGGACCTACTCCTACTGTGAGCTAAGATTGGGACAGCTGAGAGGTGTGACCGTTTTTATATGCCCCATGTTACCGCCTGGACCCCTGGAACTCTTACCGCAAGCTCTTGCTGTGAGCGAGAGCTTGTCTGCCGTGCGGTTCTGTTAATCAAAGCTTCAGAATAACGCTGCAGTGTAACCCCTACCGTGAGCTGAGAGAACCACAGCAGATTCTCGTGTATGGCGTTGACGCACCAGGCCTGAGCCAGTGCCAGCAGCCCAGCTAATAACAGCCCGGCTGCCATGGAAACACACTGTCGCCAAGGCCACCAGGGTAGAATCTCTAAACCGGAACAAGCACCGGATCCTCCGAGCAGGTAACCCTCCCCTGTACCTCGCTGTGAGGCATTCGATCTTCCTGCCCCCCATATGTTACTGCTGCATCTCCCTGCAGCTGCTGCATCTTGTGAAAGGCCCAAAGTATGTTGAAGTTTCCTCAGCTTTACTCTCTTACGAAGCTCCATTTCCTGGGAAGACTAAGATCATCAATATGTTCTTGGATCCTTTGATGAGCTCAACTCAGGTAGATAAACAGCACGCTCCTGGGCTGAGCCGTAGAAGTGATCCAAATCCATTACAGCAAGACATTTAAATGCAGTGTGTTTTTCTTTTCTTGAAGTCAGTCCAAGTAAATTAGCTTTTTAATCGCTTCAAGTTTCTTGCCAAAGGAGAAATGTAAAAAGCGTTCTCCGAGGGAATGAGCAGCTTGTTTCCTTCCAGATCCTCCTTTTGAGTATGCTCGAGGCAAAACAAGCCTTGGCTTCTCCCCAAGAACTCTGATGAGATGGCTAATCCTTAGTTTAAATGAAGGTCAAAGAGAACAGGCAGAGTTAACAAGTTCACACATTGCTCATTACCCCGAGAGCTAGTCACAGAAGGCACCGATCTTTGTCTCTCTGTTGCTCCGATACCATTGCCTCTGCGAGACCCTGAATAACTCTCATCTCTCTGATGTGGTGCTTGAAGAATTCGAGTGAAGGTCTGTACAGCATTGGCCTTGAATTATATTCCCTCCGCTTCATGTCGTCCAGCCCTGTAACAAGGACCAACATCTGCCTCCCTTGAACTCCTCACAGACACTAAACAAAAAGTAATCACTCTCAAATCGGCTACTAAGTACAAAAGAGAAAAACATGCGTGAGGAGGACTGAGTCACAGTAAGTCTACGGACAGGCTGTGCTGGAGATAACTGGAGCAGCCAGAGAGGGAGGGAGGGAAAGAAAAGAGTCACGACTGGTGACCTCTTGTCTATAAAAACACACATGCACACAGGAAAAGAATAAGATAGGGTCGGAGTGGGGGTGGGGACAAGCGAGGGGAACATGTTGGAATATCATTCTGGAAAAATTGCGGTGAACAAAAAGATTGTGGATCACAAACTGGTGTCCAGCTGTGAGCACATGTACAAAAAAAACGTTGACAAACCAAACATGGCTTTTTAACTTTTGAATTCAATCACCAGCTGTCTCAATCCATATGTTGGCGGATGATAATAAGCACTGTAAAGGTGTGTAAGAGAAACAGAACTTTAATAAACCCTCCAGACCATTTGACCTGAGGCTAACGCTGCTACCGCATTCCCTCCACAACACAACGGATGTAGTAGCCACATGTGAGGTTATTAAAACCAGTCCCTTTTCTGTTCGACAGCTTCTCCACGGACTGCCAACACTCTTGATAGTGACGTAGTGTCAGAACACAGCATCAACCGCAAAGTACCAACAGCAAGTGTCACAAATTACTTTCAAGCATTGTTCTTTCTTTCTATCCTACTTGACCAGGACACAAGAGAATACGTATGTGTGTAACTGGAAGAGTGAAAGTGTGAGAGAGACAGTGGATCTCCAACAGCAGGTAGTCAAATACATGATATCAGCGACCAGTGGGAGCAACAGCAAGCAGGTCAGGGTAAGTTTAGACTTTAGTGTCCAAGATGTGAGATGCAAAGGTTTTATTGTAATCTGCATAGTTGTCAAACATAGTTTCTCTCCATTTCTGGTGTTATAGAGGCTGTGATTGTCCCACTCCTGCCTAGGTGCTGGCTGTGATGCACACTTTAAATAAACATCAAACTGTCTCAAAAGACAATGAGGCCAACCTCAGGCTGCAGGGAGGATGAGCTGGTCGTGAATGGAAAAAGAGACGACAGAAATGATCATCGACTTCAGAACAAGACAATCAATAAGAGCACCTATGCTCATTGACAGACAAGTAATTACAACAACCAACTCCTACAAGATCCTTGGCACACACATCTGCAACGACCTCAAGTAAC